CCAACACATTGACATACAAAAAAAAAAAAAAAAGAAGTTAAAAAAAAAGCATAATTTTGGGGATTTTGTTTCATTATTCGGCCGTATTTTGACCAATTTTCATGGGATTTGGTACAAATATACTTTTATACAGGCCCCACACATTGAGAAACAAAATGGTGGCGTTGCTCGTTTTTTTGTAATTATAGGAGGGGGGTAAATATGCTCAAAAAGCATAATTTTAGGTTTTCTGACAATTACTCCGCCGTATTTCAGCCAACTTACATGGGATTTGGTAGAAAGATACTTTTTACAGGTCCTAAACCAAAGCCGTTGCTAGGCGCTGAAACACGGAGTCCGTGCCACGATTCTATTTAACAGTGCCCAGAATCCCCAGTTCGTATAGAAAACCATGATCGATATCATACTGTAACGCCGAATGGGTACGAGTCTAGAATCTTTTAAACACCTAGCGACACCTCTGTCCCAAACAGATATATACAATTTTGGAATTTTTGCCTTTAGTTCTTTCTTCTTTTTTTTTTTTTAGCGAAGAAAGCACAATTTGAGGTTTCCATGAACTATTCATGTGCATGTCAACCAACTTACATATTATTTGGTACAAAGATACCTTCTTGCAGGTCCCAAGCAGTGATATAGACAGTTTTTGATTTTGATGTGTTTATATGGGGTTTTTTTGGTGTCAAAATTGGCCATGTTGAGATTGTGTTGCGGAAATATGTTACATTCGCCGCAAATGTTGGTCTTTTTAATTAGGTTTTGATCTACACCACCTTTTATGAATGAAGTACTACGGGCACAGATACTGTGTTACTTGTTGTATTTTGAGGACTGAATGTAATTGTATAATTTCTTTTTCTCCTTCTCACCATGCTGTGACTTAAATGCGAGTTGACTGATATACAATGACTGCTCACTTTATGAGGGACTCCAGAAGGCCAAATTCATTTCTAGAACCCTCCATTTAGTGATCGTTCGAGCTATATAAATGTGGAAATGTACTTATTACCTAATGGGTAAGAGCAAGGATCTCTGGAACTTTCAGAGAAGCATGATAGAAGGTGGCTCTCTATCAGAGCTTCATTATTAGAGAAAGGCTGTTCAAATAAATCTATTATCAGACACTCTCGACAACTACAATCGAAATGGAAACCGTCTCCTACTAGAAAAAGAAACAAAGCTATCATCTGTTTATATTAGATGCCAAAAGGTGTCTTCACAAGTACTGGCTTAAAACTTTGATCACTGAGGGACTGGAAGCATGTGATGTTTGAAAAGTCAGCGACTGGAAGCATGTGATGTTTGAAAAGTCTTCGTGGCAGGAGTGGGGTTGTTCTGATACCATCAGAAGAGAAAACTAACCCCAGTATACGTGAGAGTTGATACTGATCGTGCGTATCCCATAATACAGCTTTCTTACCGTAATGTTAAAGGACTCGACCAAGGAAATAATACAACAATCCATTGTGCTCCTATTGTCCAAAATTGTTGATGAACATGATAAGACTTCGGCCAAAAAAAATCAAAAGAGCTCAATCAGTTTTGAGCATTAATGGGATGAGCTTGAACATCACATTTGTCACGTAATCCTTTACTTACATCTATGAACTAAATCCAAACCATACTCTCTGAGGAATGGGCTTCAAGGCTAAATCAAATTAGACACCTTCCAGTGCTTGTGGAGTCTACGTCATGTTTATTCAGTCTTATTATCGTGATAAAATGTGGTCTAGACCAATAATAATAGATGAGGTCCTAATGAAGTTACATGTCGGTATATATATCGCAAGACTTACGATACACTAATTATCTCGTCCTTCTCTTGTATAATATGGCCAACTATTGTTGGATATGAATGATGCACTTGCGACACTTGCTTTTCATACATATCAATGTTTTATTGTTGGATGCAAGTCTCTCACTCGTGGAGCTTTGGCTTTCCACACATCACTTTTTCATTATTGAAAACAGGAAACTAACTAACGGGATTCTCACTTTTTAAACATATCAATGTTTCATTGTTGGATACGAGGCACTAACGTGACTCTCGCTTTCCACACATATCAATATTCGTTGTTGGGTATGGGGAGCTCACGTCCCTCTCGCTTTTAATACATACCAATGTTCATTGTTGGATACGGGGCATTCACGTGACTCTCGCTTTCCACACACATATCAATATTCGTTGTTGGGTATGGGGAGCTCACGTCCCTCTCGCTTTTAATACATACCAATGTTCATTGTTGGATACGGGGCATTCACGTGACTCTCGCTTTCCATACGTTTCAGTGTTTAATTTTTCTTAACGTTGATTTCCCTATACGTTATTTTAGTGTATTATTTCTTTCTATTAAGTTGTAAATATAAATGAGTTTGGTAAGAAAAAGTTGTTATTTGAGTTCTAGATTTCCTGATAAGAGAATAAAACATAAAACATAGTTTGTTTATATTTTGTCGTTCTATCGTTCTTAAAGAAACGTTTAGAAACAATGTTCATAAAGGCCTGACGATCTTAAGTTTATCAGGTCCACATCCCTTCTCATCTTCCTCTTACAAGACAGCGTGTTCTATATTTTACTAAATGAATTACAAAACCATTTATATCACAAATTACAGTACATTTTTACTTAGATTCATGACGTTTTCACATATACCTACTACACTATTTTTTATCGCATATTATTAATGTATGGAGGCAAACATTTTCTACATATTAACATCGTCAATACATTTCTTCGTTATATTAACCAATGGTTAACTTTCTGAACAGTTGAATCATAATTTTACCATTTAATTATCAAAATAATTACTAGCAGATACTTCTTGTTCAACTAAGGTTTTTCTTAGAAACTATCATACTAACTAATTAATAACATTTCTAGTAAATTATATAAAATTCTATCGTATAAGTATAAATATTTGTAATCAGTTGAATTTTGATGTTAGTAATTATAACTAATTTTTAGACAATTTAAAGTAGATTTCCATCTACTATACTTCATTATGATATTTCTAGACAGCGTAATTACTTGTTGTTTTTTCTTTTGCACACATCCATCCCTCTCACCAATGTTTTTTTTTCTCTAGACAGCTTAATTCTATTTGTTCGTTATTAAGTACAATGCTACATAATTGGCTTAATTGGGATTTATTCGTTTCGAAAATACTTAATGGTGGCTATACCTTAATTATGTACTATTGTGCGATCGGTCGTAAAGTAAATTCCTGTTGAAGTTGTCATCACTAAATTAAAAAAAAAAATTATCCCCCAAGTTGCCGCGTTGTCCAATCCTTATCTGAAAGTATTTTTATGAAAAAATGGTAACCAGCGTAGCCAGAACTTAACTTTCATGAAAAGATGGTAACCAACGTACCCAGAACTTAACTTTCCAATTAATTATAAAGTTGTTCAAGTTTTTTACCATTAAATTATTCGCAATAAAAAAAACTAAAGGAATTTTACAATTAAAAGCACGCTAATAAAAAAATGAATACAGGTCGAAAGTTTGAAAAAAAAAAAAACTATAGACAAGAAATGCTTTTATAGCTCAGTGGAGAGTTGTTTCATTTCTCAAACATTTACTGGTATATGTGTGTTGAGTGCCTGAAAGTCCTAAGTCTAATAACTGGAAATTTTGACTAGCACGATTATGCAGTTAATAAGGTCATTTTGTCAATGTCGTAATGCACTTTCATTTCGAAACTTTGAGATTTCCCATGCTAGCTAAATATTTAGAAGATTATCGATATCTTTCAAATTTTCACATTTACTTTAGAGGTTCAAAATCAAATGTTTTTAATATCATATTGGTTTTACGTTACCACAGCTAAACGTTATCTTACACGTGTAATCCTTGTGTTAAAACGAAGCATGCAGACATAAAGTATTTAGATCACCTTTGCTACGTTTGGAAACACCTGCTAACCCTTAATACGCTTGGAATTCCCTACTATTTTGCTTTAACTGTCTTTTCCTTTAATCGTCATACATTACCATGGTAGTATATCGATTCCTCTTATATACACAGATTTAATACAACATTTATGGAGTTGAATTATAAGTTTTATATGATAAATGTATTAACAATTGCTTTTAGGAAATCTTCGAACTAAACTAGTGAAACTGAAAAAGGTGGGGAATTAAACACAATTCACGCGATTATTATAAGTGGGCGTGCCAATAAAGTTGAAACCTGTTTACCTATTTTTTACACACGTTAGAGTTTTTATCTTCAAAATATTACAAATATACATAGCCTGGTTCCTGCTTGATGAAGACCATAATATATTATCAGAAAACTTTAACCTGAGTGTGAACTTAGCCTGGTTCCTGCTTGATGAAGACCATAATACATTATCAGAAAACTTTAACTTGAGTGTGAACTTAGCCTGGTTCCTGCTTGATGAAGACCATAATACATTATCAGAAAACTTTAACTTGAGTGTGAACTTAGCCTGGTTCCTGCTTGATGAAGACCATAATACATTATCAGAAAACTTTAACCTGAGTGTGAAATTAGCCTAGTTCCTGCTTGATGAAGACCATAATACATTATCAGAAAACTTTAACTTGAGTGTGAACTTTTAGGTTTCTAATTTTATAGAATATTTGAACTTGGTCATTAAAATATGTTTCCTAAGAAAATGTATGAACGTACTTTTGGTGTGTATCCAGGATCAAAGAAAGCGAATTAAGACTGAAAGTAATAATGTTATTATTATTACTTTTCATACAGTTAATTTTCATTAAAAATGTCATGCTAAGTAGTTTTATTCGATTTGTTTGTTTCTTTGTTGTTCAGCGCAAAACTAAATGAAGAACTATCTGTGCTCTGCTTGCCGCGAGTATTAAAACCCGATATTTACCGTTTTATTCGAACTATACGTACTAGCTGTATTTGGGTATACAAACCAATCTGGCAAAATGAATACAACAACGAGTTGCCGGAAAATGGTATTTCTACTAAAGAAAAGCCTGGCCTCAGACAACCAATTGAAATACTTCCTGGTTAGTTTATCAAATTACAATACCATTCTGTTATATAGCAGCATCCTCAGAGGATCACACTAAGGATTTCGCATTAGATAATACCTATATTAAGCTATGCCCTTGTTTTGTACTAACATGCAACATTATGTATCAGATTGTCTCTGTAACCGCGGAATAACAGAGTTATTAGGCGCTGAATGTAGTTTTAACATGACATAATGGTTCCTTTCTTTGTATAGATTTTTATGGAGTAAACTGAAGCACTAAAGTATCGTAAGGTGATTAATCCTGGGATTTAAATAAGTACAGAATAGGTTCAGGAATTCCACTGGAGGAGTATATTATCCAAGAAGCGCCACCTTTATAATGGATTCCTGGCACATCCTGGATGTTTGTTCTACCCACAATATATAACAAAAACAGGATGTGCCAAACTCCTGATCCTTACACATTCGACAAAAGTCGTATTTGTTGATTTACGGTAACTTTTATAACCATTCATGGCGTGCCCCAGTATCTCACCAGTATGCCATTAATGCTGCACCAGCACGATTCCTATTCCCGTAATAAACTTTTATAATGTCGAGTTCCTGTTGAATATTAACAATTAAGATGTTAGGATCTCTATAACGCCCTTTATGGAAATAATATGATGCATACGAATACTAGTTTTCGGTAGGATCGTTCAGATCATGGTAGGGTCAACATAAGAACACTTATTTTCAGTAAGATCGTTCAGATAATGGTAGGGTCAACATAAGAACACTTATTTTCAGTAAGATCGTTCAGATAATGGTAACGTCAATACAAGAATACTTGTTTTCAGTAGGATCGATGAGTACATTCCTTTTTTTTTCACTCTAAGTTATCATTTTATTCCTCCACGTGAACCCTCACCTTCCTAGGCCCCATATACATCAGAATATATTATTGTCACCCTATAGTTAAAATGAGGTAGGTAGCTTTTATAAGGTGACCACGATGGAAACTGTTTAGTAGTTTAGCATTAGTTTATATACTGAACAGAGTAGTTTAGCATTAGTTCATATACTGAACAGAGTAGTTTAGCATTAGTTCATATACTGAACAGAGTAGTTTAGCATTAGTTCATATACTGAACAGAGTAGTCTAGCATTAGTTCATATACTGAACAGAGTATTTTAGCATTAGTTCATATACTGAACAGCTAACATTGTGCAATTACTCGTCTTTTATTTCTAAAACTATTACTTGTTCAACTCTTCTATAAGTAAACCGAACCCTTAAATTAATTATTTTCTATATCTCTATATTCATATATTGATGGCTATTTTTTGGACAGTGTACTTTTTTTTAACGGTAACTAGCTAACACAAAGATAAGTAGATACATGGCTGAAACACACAGAAACAAACTGATTTATAGTTGAAACTCAAATGAATAACTTTTTTGGTTGCCATTCATCTACATATATATCTCGTTGATTATTGAACTGATGGAACAAATAAATTAGTGATACGTAAAAATAAATGAAAGATAAATAGAATACATAAGAGACAAAGAAGATAAACACACAGATAAATACCTCCTTTAGTCTGCGATGTTCGAAGTCGTGTAGTTGTTTCTGGAATCCCAAGTTGGGATTAGCGACACTTCTAGCTCCACGAACTGCCTTCAAGGCGTCTCGATGGTTCAGAGAGGTTACAGACATAACATAAGCCACAGCAATGGTTACGCTGCGTGAGACTCCAGCTAGGCTATAAGTAACAGAAAACAGGTATGTATAGAGATAGTACAATGTCGGACAGTGGACAGATCTCTAGTAAGATAACAAAAATTACATAATATATAAATATTTTAATTACTTTTTAAAGTTTTCTGCGCTGACTGAAGGATAGAAACCATATTCAAAAAAGACGACAAACGAGAAAAATGTTGTTGTTTTTACATTACGTTTTGGTTTATGCCCGGCATGGCCAGGTGGTTAGTGCGCTCGATTCGCAATCTGCGGGTTCGAATCCCCGTCACACCAAACATGATCGCCCTTTCAGCCTTGGGGGCATTATAAAGTGACGGTCAATCCCATTATTCGTTGTAAAAAGAGTAGCTCAAGAGTTGGCGGTGGGTGAATATGATTAGCTGCCTTCCCTCTAGTCTGACACTGTTAAATTAGGGAATGCTAGCAGACAGCCCTCGTGTAGCTTTGCGCGAAATTCATAACAAACCAAACAAACAAACCGTTTCGACTTATGGCTTTTTCGAGGTAAAAAAAAAAGTGTAAAAGGTTACGAAACTGTTTTCAAATTATTGTAAATAATTATACTTGTCATAAGACATTAGTATTAGACCTATTACATTTTTAACAATGCATTGTTTATCTATTCCCCTAGGAATTTTCAAGTATTAGAAGAGCATATACTAATAATATTCCAACAACACTGTGTTCGCCATATCCATTGCCGACAATGATTTTCGCTCAATTCAGGGCTCATCAGGCCGGCTGGGACACAACAAACACAGTAGTGGTCGGAACACCATTTATATAAACCATTTGTTGCAACACAGTTGTTATGATGTGAACGCTTTTTCCAAGCTGGCGAATCACGATTATAAATAATTATATTTCTCATAATACATTTGTATTAGGCCTATTGTATTTCTTAACATTGCATTCTTTATCTAGTCCCAGCCGACTTAATGTGCTCTGGATTGAGCGAAACACGTCGTCAGCAATGGATTTGGTGAACATAGAGTTGTTGGAATATTATTAGTGTACACTAAGGGACTATATAAAGAATGCAGTGTTTAAAATGTAATAGGACTAATATTAATGTCTTACAAAAAGTACAATTAATTATAATCATGCTTCACAAGCTTGGAAAAGGCATTCACACTATGTGAAAAAATAGTAACCGAAAGAATATAATACCATAACAATGTTATAGCATGGTACATATTGAAGTGTGCTAAGACTATTGTTAAGCAAGTTAGAGTCATTGATCACAATATTATATGTAAATAATTAAATAAAAATAAGCTCCCCCCCAATGTGTTACTGTAAACCAGTGGGTTTATAACGCTAAACTTTAAGTTTCGATACCCATGGTGGGCACATCACAGATAGCCAATTGAGTAGTTTTGCGTTTAACAACAAACAAACAAAAGAAAAAGAAACCTTGCATGGAGTAATAATAGTTCAACAGGGTCCAATCTAATGTTCACTGATGGCTTCTCTGTTATCAAGACTAGCAGTGACGTAAGCCGAAATCTCGTGTAACATATATATATATATATAAACATTTCTCTGAAGTTGTTTGTCGCCTTTTTTAAAAATAATACATAAATATATACCCTGATGAATGGAAACAAAAAAGTTGTTTAAAAACTACAGATATTAACTATGTAAAACACAATAGTCACAAAATTCTAGACACGTGATGGAAAAAATTAAAATTACGGGTTAAATCTTTTGTCATATATTTGGCAAGCGGCTAAATTACAAACCGCAAACTATTAATAAGAATTTATTATATTTTAAAGCAACAACCATAACACTGCAAAGCCGTGAACATAAAATCATTAAAAATAAACGTGAAGCCTAAATTAACTCGACTTACCACTTGTCAATGAGTTACACTAGTTTCGAGAGAATTTCAAACCTCATCCATAACCCTGGATAAGGGCAAATCGAAAGAATAAGACCAGGCTATACATAGTGGTGTACAAGGGCAAAACGAAAGAATACGACTAGGCTTTATATAGTGGTAGACAAGGGCAAAGAGAAAGAACAAGACAAGGCTCTATATTGTGGTGGAAAATATAGTAATGTATGGAGATTTGAGTCCGGTATAACTCAATGACAAGTAGTACATCGAATGAATTGAGCTTTAAATTTATTTTTAAAATTTTAAACAGCTTGTAGGCTGAGTAATTCAGAAGAAAAACTCATAGCATGAATGTTAAGTATATTTGAAATCATATACAAGTATAGGATCACTGTGGTGGGAAAAAAGGCACTTCAAACACCATACATATAAAATCACTTTGTGATGGCCCCCCGACATAAGACACTTCCTAAACTGGAATGTCTATAAAAACACCAAAATGAATACAGACAAAAATTCATCACAAGAGAGCAAAAACAGAACACGTTAAACAAATAAGTATTTGTATTGTTTGGTGAGTTGGGTGAATAAATAACAGATGGTATTTATTTACAATAAATGCGAGGTAATTCATGTAGGATATTCTAATTTGTATTATGAGTATAGTTTTGATGGGAATAAAATTAACAGTGTTATGGAAGAAAAATGATCTTGGTGTTCTGGTTGAATCAGTCTCTTAAGCCATTGAAGACGTGCTGTTGCTAGTGCTAGGGTAAAGAGGATTTTAGGTTGCATCTACAGAAATGTTAAATACAAGTCTGAAGAGCCTATAATTTCATTGTATGTGTTATTGGTTATGCCACACTTAGTGTACCGTCTTCAGTCTTGAGTGCCTTACCATAGAAAATACATTAAATTGTTGTAAAGGGTTCAGAGAAGGGCTATTAGGATGATACTGGAAATGGAAAGATTGTCATACGAGGACAGATTAAAATCTCTGAAAGTGTTTTCTCTTGAAAAAAAAAAGTTACATAGGGTCTGATTGAGGTGTTTAAGATTTTTAAAGGAATTTATAGTGTCATGCATAATCTTTTCTCATATTTAAAGGTAAGATTAGAGGCCCTAAACATAAGTTTTGGTATTGTAGAAGTCATCTTCAGCTAAAATAATTTTGTTTTATCTTCTGATGTGGTAGATGCAGTTAATTTAATGATGTTTAAGGGAAAGATTGATAAATAATCCTTGGTTTTAATAAAGAATTTTACATAATTCAGCTACACAGATTTCAAAAATAATATTCATTTCTTTCTATCACGTAAGGATTTTTTTACAAATCGGGAAGAAAAAACACTCTTATTTAGATCAAATTATCATTTCGTTTATCACAATGAAACTTTTTTATTATCATGTGTGTTTCTCGTGGGTTCTAGAACGACCGATAAGGCTCTCACGTCGCGATTGGTCTAGAGAAATCTGTAGCCAGTGGTTGTCAACATTTTAAGCATAACAAAACGTGACCCGATTTCAACGAAAATGATTCACTTATGTAAAAGTACATATGACGTTTTGTGAAAAATCTGTACGTGATGGAGAAAAATGGATATCACTTTCGGATTCAGCGTACAGGAATTACTGTAGAACATGTAAAAATAAACCATCGCAGGCCTGTGTAATTGAATGATAAAGATTGGCTATGAGTGTATTCTTTGTATGTTAAACTTTAGTTTAGTGGATGAGACAGCCTAGATGAACCAATAAGCCCCTTGTTGTCCTTAACTTATATATATCACAATCAAACAACCAAACACAGTAAACAAGAATTCATTACAAGTCAGAAAAAACAAAACACTAAACATTCATCACAAGACAATAACAACCAAACACGTTAAACAAACAAATCACCCCCACAAGTCAGTAAAAACCAAAACGCTATGTATATAGTCTTGGCGAAAATGTTTGCATACTGTTCTATATAGATGTTATTGTCTACATGCATGAAGTAGTTATTGAGTAAATGCCAGAGTAATAACAGAGAAGGTAGCGTATGATCGGAGAAACATCTAGAAGTTGTTATGCTGGTCTGTATAAGTTATTTTGTATAAAAGACTGTACTTTTTCGAAACAGATCAACGCTTTGTTCAGACAATTTCTCTGTACTTGGTATAGAGTCATGCCTCGTCACGTGCCAGAAGTTATAGAGCGTCAAATTGTTCGACTGTCCACAAGTAGTATGAAGCAAACGTACATTGCTAGTAGAATACATTCAGTGTACTGTATCCAGAATCCTAAAACGTCATCAGTCTACAAGAAACATTGTTCCAGGAAAGTCTACTGGTAGATGCCGAAAAACTGCTGGTCGTGTTTTGTTCAGGTTAACACGTTAAGGTCGAAAGAAGTTTTGCAACACATTACGACAGGAATGGCATGAACGCATTCATTTCAGGATATCCAGAAAAACATTGAATAGGAGATTGAACAAACAAGGTTATTTTACATGAAGGGCTATCTGCAAACCGATATTAACCAGAATTCACCGCCGTCACCATGTTACTTGGGAAACACAATATGCCAACTTAAAGTTTCGACACATGTCATCTGTTTCTGGCTTGTTAAAGCTTATGGTAGGATTCGTGTTAATCGTTTGTCTAGAGAACACTTGAGGGAAGACTGTCTTTCCCACAGGCAACACATAGGAGGTGGTGCAGTACATGTTTGGGCAGCTATTCATCATGGTGGAGAAACTGCTCTTCATATCCTCCAAGGAAACATCAATGGCGCCTCTTACAGGCATCACATGGAGACGATATTCCTGCCATATGCTAGGGTAAGATTTGGTAATAACTTTGTGTTCTAGGATAACAATGTCGCTGCCCATAGTGCACGTATTGTACAGGTGTATCTCGACCAGGAGGACATTATAAGATTGTCATGGCTAGCAAAGTCTCCAGATTGTAATTCCATTGAAAACAGTTGGGCAGAACTGAGCCAGAAAATTGCTAACCACGACCCTAAAACAGCTACTTTATCTGAGTTGCTGCGCCTTCTAGTGAAAAATTGGGACGAAATCACGGTGAATTACATCAGTAACCTCATCGATAGCATGACATGTTGCCTTGTGGAGGTTATTAGAGAACAATGAGGACCAACCAAGTATTGAATGTTTAATATGAACTGATATAAGGTTACAGACGCTACTTGTAATAATTTGTTGTCATATTTTGTCATTATATATGTTTTGGTAAGGTTTTGTTGTGATAGGTGAAATGCTGAATTGCACATCTTTCTACAGGTGTCTGATAAAATTGTTTGTTGTTCTAATATATCGTTCATGATGTCTACAGAACCTGTTTCATTACACATTACATATGTATATATTTAATATAACATGCATTTCTCAGTTTGACAGTGCTAAGTGTATTTATATTCAATCTCAATAATAATGATCTTATTTGTTACAAAATAAGCAAACATTTTGGCCAAGACTGTACAAACACACGTAAGTCAGTAAAAACTAAACACTTAGGAGAGTGAAACACTCATATGAAAACATCAAACATTATAATATAAAACAAGCCAGAAAAAAATCAAAAAGTAGGTTTTTTTGGGGGTTGTCAGTGATCTTTAGGTCTAAATACATATTTATGACAATTTTTAGAGCTAGTCCAAGTATACATACCAGTGAATTAAAACGTTCCCACCTTTCACACGGGCGTTATGGATAAAATCGTTGCATCTTGAAAAGAACTGGACCAAGTTTTGATAGGGCGTGTCGGATGCTTGAATACATAGATATTTTTTGTCCTACGATAAAAAAGTCAAGTCAACTCGATAACTTGGTATTGTCCCAACTAAAAGGTTATTTCCCATTCAATTTTAAAGAGTATGCATATGAAGCACATGCAGAAAAACAGAGATAGCTCACACAGTCCATCCTCTTCTACGGTGACCTTACTGGCTTTCTGTTTTGTTTTCATCTTCAAAAGCATTTTCTGTGCGTGTTTATATATTTGAACAGTTATGCTATTGGATATAATTCCAGCGATACAAAACGTAGATTTAACAGCTCAATAATACGAAACATTATTTGATTTATTTCTTCAAATGCAACTAAACATTCGAAATATTTCCCATAAAACAACGTATACATAAAAGTAACAGGTAATAAAAGGTGCATTTTTTTATTTCTAAGTTGAATACAGAAACAAATAATTTCAAGATCATACAAGCAAACAATGATGAGATAGTAGAATTAGGCAGGACAAAAAGATGCAGCGAAATCTGATTTATATATTGAAATAGTAATCATACTGTTGTAAGATTTATATATTCAAATAGTAATCATACTAGTGTAAGATTTATATATTCAAATAGTAATCGTACTATTGTAAGATTTATATATTCAAATAGTAATCGTACTATTGTAAGATATATATATATATTTAAATAGCAATCATATTGTTGTAACCAATAACGTTCAGTGTTTTAATTAAGATGTTAGCTAGAGAGCGCATGGGGTTAAGATCTAGCAATTTTGACTAAGATCTAGAAACAAGATTCCATTATGAATACGAGAATCAGCGTAGCGTTGAATTCAGTTATTTCAACTTCAGTCAAAGCGAAGTTACTTAATGAGAAGTATTTAATTATTTTGTGAGAGTTTTCACGGTTGTTATTCTCTTAATAAGTACATGGTCAGTACCTAGTGGTTAGGGCGCTCGACTCGCAATCTGAGGGCCACGGGTTCGAAACCCCGTCATACCTTACATGCTCGCGCTTTCAGCCGTGAGGACGTTATAATGTGACGATCAATCTCACTATTCGTTGATAAAAGAGTAGCCCGAAAGATTGCGGTGGGTGGTGTTGAATAACTGTCTTCCCTCTAGTCTATCACTACCAAATTAGGGATGGCTAGCTTTGCGCGAAATTCAAAATAAAAAAACTTACGTTACGTATTTATTCATCTAATAAAGCTAGTTAAATTAAACATAAGTTTCGCATTTTATATTGAAACGTTGTATTTGAGGCTAGCCCTACACTCAGATGTGAAAATATTGCTCAAACGTTGTTTATGCACTCACTTGTGTCAAAGTGGATATGACCAGTAGAAACGTCATAAAAGAAAGAAACTAGCTTGTTATTGTTACCTGGACTGGAATTTGCATTATTTTCACCAAGTAATCTAAAAAAGAAAAAAAAACTATTGAACAATAGAAGTAATAGAATACGTTATAACTGTATAATAGTATCTTAACTCTAAAACAGTAGCCCAGCTCAACCATGTCTGTACAGTATTTGAACTCTAAACCAGTAACCTAACTCCACCATCTGTACAGTATTCGAACTCCAGAATGGTAGCCTAACTCAACCGTATCTGTACAGTATTTAAACTCTAAACCAGTAACCTAACACCACCATGTCTGTATAGTATTTGAGCTCCAAACCAGTAACCTAACTCCACCATGTCTGTATAGTATTTGAACTCCAAACCAGTAACCTAACCCCACCATGTCTGTACAGTATTTGAACTCTAAACCAGTAACCTAACCCCACCATGTCTGTACAGTATTTGAACTCTAAACCAGTAATCTAACTCCACTATGTCTGTACAGTATTTGAACTCTAAACCAGTAACCCAACTCCACCATGTCTGTACAGTATTCGAACTCCAGAATGGTAGCCTAACTCAACCGTATCTGTACAGTATTTGAACTCTAGACCAGTAACTTAACTCCACCATGTCTGTACAGTATTTGAACTCCAGAATGGTAGACCAACTCCACCGTATTTGTACAGTATTTGAATGCTGGAATAATATATTCATTTCATTAAATCTGTACAGTATCTGTACACTGCTATAAACTAAAACAGTAACTAAATGACTACTTAGCAATTTTTTTAATCGATGTATGATACCTAAGCTTCAATTTAGACTTTTTGTGTGTGTGGGTGGGGGGGGGGGGCTACTGCATTACTTGACACCTGGAACTTCTTGAGAGTTTAGCAAATTATTTCAGCAGTAGATAAACATCAAGTACAATAGACTAGAAAAAGTTGGTTTCTTAAGTCTGCAGCAGAGGATTAGTTATTGAGTTAGCAAGTTTTGCTGGTTAGTTCTTTTGTTGTTGTTGTTGTTTTTTATTTGTGAGCCTGTTATAGTAGATGATTGGTTATTGAATTACTGAGGTTTGTTAATCTGTTTGTCTGTTACTGTCCACCATTTAGTCAATTAGTTCGAGTTTGTAAAGAAGTACTATCTATACGAGAAGGTGCTGAACGTACGAGAGAACTTAGCCACTAACTGAAACTGTTGTATTAGTGTCTATTCTGAAGTTAGGCCTATCAGTGAGCGATAGTTAAGCCAACTTGCAGAACCTGAAGTTCACGACATTATATATTTTTATTACGAAACAGTAGGCTGGACTTGCATTATTTTGTTACCAAACAATCCAAAAGAACCTGTTCAACAACAAATATTGTTACAACAATAAACACAATGAGTTTCTAACAAGGTATTCACAGTCAAGTTTTACTCTTTTTTTCATCGTATTCCAATACATTGTTGTAATGTTTGTTTAATTGACCTATTCGTTTAAATTATCTGGTGAAAGAAATTAAAGTCCAGCCCACGTAAACGATCACAAATTAATCTTTTCTACCTTTAAAGTTTCTACAAAGTTACACACTGTGTTAAGTTGTAGCACACGTTTACAGATGACGCTAACTGCACTACTCTAGCGTTAACGAATAAATATACTTGAACAACCTCACGACTGAAATGAAACACATTGACTGATTTCTCTACTGCCTAGAAATAACTCTCTATCTTCTTAAACTATCTTCTCAACTATTTTTGATGCTTTGCTGAACCCGTATTTATAACTTACCCTCGAAGTTACTAGAAACATGACGTCAAATTTATAGTACTTTCCACACCTTGTACGTATTAAACCATTGAAATTGTTGCTTACAACAATATGTAGCAAATAAATATAATTGAGTGGCGGTAGTTGTATGTTTTAAAGTACATTTGAGTATGAGACGTTTCGGAATAATAAAATATTCAATCACTAAACATTTAATAAAAATGGTTTGACAATTCAGACTAATTCATCAGGCAGTTTTATTTCAGCACGAAAACAAAGCGACATTGAAATATTTCATATAATGTATTTACTTACAGATTAACAATACACTATAGAAAATTAAAGATCTTTTGATACGGCAAATATGAAATATGGATAAAAAAGATAAGTAAACTGAAACAGCATTTTGTGCGGTTAATTGCGGTATCATTAAGTAAAATTATATGAACAATTGAGATTATTTATAAAAATGTAAAAAGAGAAAGCACACCAAATGTGCTCGTTACAAAGGTAAAGACTAACATGTGCTGTTGAATAATGGGCATTTTTTTTTCATTAAGAAATACAATATTTGAAATCTTACGTTTGCATATTCATAATTCAAAAATTTCTGGTTGTAAGAAATACATTTCTTGTTTAGTTAATTTACGGTTTAAAAACCACGTGTAGGATTTCGTGCGGTTGTTTAACCTGACTCTTTTTCCTCATGTAAAATCCACGTCACCTTGGATCTGATAAATACAAACAACCAGATATTAGATATAAAGAAACAATATCTCAACAACATTTAAAATTAAGTTCGAAAAGAAATTTCAAGTGACGAGTTATGGGACCCTACATCAAGAATAGCTTCCAAACACCGAGGTAAATAGGGACGAAAACAAAAATATGACCTCATTAAAGTCATCGGAAAGTTTTGAACGTCGAGTTTTGGCCATGACCGGTTTATCTATAATGTTTATTGTTTTACATTTTCACATTGTTATTTACTTTGCTTATTTTGATTAACCCCTTTTATCCTTTTTGGTGAAAAGTTTAATTAAGTGACCATTTTGAGAAATCGAGAACGCGCAGGCGGACAATAGTGCGAGGCACGAGACAGACAACGTTCAACGTTTTTGATCGGTTCTGTCAAATTCATTTTCCCATAGTTCAATTTTGTTTTTGTTTTCTTTTTATGAATGGGATCGTTGATAAAGTACATGGTGTGGTTTGACTGTTGAGGGCCAGTGACCTATGCTTGGCTGGTTATACACCAAGAACAGCTTCCAAACACCCACGTCATTAACGAAAGTAGAAAACTGTGCATCATCTTCATGAATAATCTCGCTAGAAGATTGAATATAAACAAAGCGTTCAGTAACAAAAACAACCACATTGAATGGAAAATCATTAATTTAAGTTACTTCCAAATTGTTCACTTTAGTGATACATATTCTCAATTTAACAAGGCGGAAGACTTGAAACGTCGTCCTCTACACTTGTGTCTCCACAACAGGCAGTTGCCGTCCATTCTACACGTTACATACCTCAGCGTTTGGAAACTGCTATTGGTGAAAGGTCGACACAGCTCATCATTTCAAACTTCCTGATGAAAGCAGTTTTATACGTGATCGAAATATTGCTTTCTTGAACCATTTGAATATTGTAAACAAACGGGAGTTGTTCATATTTATCATGTCTAACGTAACGTGCATTTTACAACAGAGAAATAGGTAGAAAGTTAACTTTTCCAATGGCATAATCGCACTAACAACTCCCACACCTGACTAAACACCGTAGATTACTTGAACACACAATTTATATCTTCCTTATAATCAGAGATTTGGAATTGCAATGAAGTGCAAACGTAAAGTTCAACAAATAATATTAACAAAATAATACTAAAACACTAATTTATTCAACACCAGGTGTTAATCTTTTATCTTTTTCTTAGACTTTTCTCATCATAATGAAGTATTGTTACATGTGAACTTCCATGTCTTGTGTGTTTGTATCAATGTATTATTATGATGAATTATATGATACATGTTCTCAGTTTAAGACGTGCTTTTATCGACTCACGAGCTATAATACTTATACCGTCGAATATTTTTATCACTTTAAAAACACATTTCTATCTACTCCCAGGCAACAATACTTATACCATCAAATACTCGTTTTCACTTTGAAAAGCCACTTCTGTAGGCTCCCGAACTACAATACTTATACGGTCAAATATTTGTTCTAATTTTAAGACATGCTTTTATCGACTCCCGAGCTACAATACTTATACCGCCAATTAGCTGTTCTCACTTTGAAAACCCACTTCTGAAAGCTCCTGAACAACAATACTTATACACTCTCCAATAGTTAAGATAATTTAAAAAATATGACAGTATAATGTATTCGAACCCATGAAATTGGTAGTAGGTATATTTCAGCCAAGACAGCTTCAGAGATAGTATAGTGCTTAAATCTTACTTAGTCCAGGCCCAAAAATTTGTGAGTAATAAGAAAGAAAATGTTTGAATTCAATATAGGTGTTGAGAACTGCACCTCGACGTGACCCAACTACATTTCAAACATATTAAAACGATGTCCTTGATGACACAGTTGAGTTTCGGTTTGATTCTCTTTGGTGTTTCTTTTCTTAGAGTATGTATCGACATATTACATTATTGTTTTTTAAAGTCAGAAAGAACTTTACAACGAAAAGCCATATGACAAACTTTACAACGAAAAGCCATATGACAAACTTTACAACGAAAAGCCATATGACAAACTTTACATTCACTCTCTGTATTAGTACAAACTAACATGAGCCTGCTAATAAATGATTTCGAGAATTTAAAATTCACTTTTTTATAAATTTTCCTTGAAATCAACTACAGTACGAACGTATTTTCTGACGACAAACTCAGAAAACGAGGGAATGTTTTGTAAAAATTACAGAGGTGGAAACATTTATTGCATCAGCCAATTTTTTCACACTTTTCTTCAGAATCATCATCTGTTTTGACTCCCAAGTGAATATAGGTGAAAATGTGTTTCATAAATGATGCAATACTGTCTAATTATTACATCAGCAGCTTTATCGACTGTCTGGGTATTGCATCAGCCTTTTTTTTTTGGGGGGGGAGGCTATAAATAGAGGTTCTTACTGAGAGACAGTTTAGAAATATATCTGCCACAATGTGCATGTCATGCTACTATGGCCAAAGGTTGCAAGTTAGCTCCACGGAAAAAAGCAGGTTACTAGAAGAATTAGATTTAACCAATCTACGGTGGGCCACTGGTTACAGAGTGGAGCAACAGAAGGGAATGGGTAGAAAGAAAGCTAACGACCATATTCTAAGTGTATGAGCCTGGAGAATCGTCGACTGTCGTCCACAGATCTCAAAAGAGTATGGAGGGAAACTTCAGGGACCTCTGTCACCGCGAGTACTGTCCAGTTCTGCCTGCGTTCAACAGGTCTGCCAGCAAGATAGCCAAGAAAGAAATCCCTTCTCACCAACAAGATGAGGCTCAACTGGGTCAAAGGGCATGTTGACTGGATTGAAGCAATGTGGAACAAAATGATCTTCTCAGACGAATCAAAGTTCAACCTGCACGGGTCTGATGGGAACCACTTTGTATGACGTCGATGTGAAGAAGAGTTTCAATCAGCGTGTTTGAATGCAGCTGTGAAGCATCCACATGGTCATGTGATATGGGAATGCATCTCTGGCCAGGGCGTGGGAAGCATGTATACTGTGAAAGGCACTGTCAATGCCAACAAGTACATCGAGATCCTTGAATCCCGGTTAAAGCCAATCATTTCGAATCACTTCGATAGAACTGCCCAATCTACATTTCAGGATGATTCTGCTACATGCCACAGGGTTAAAAAGGTTGGTAATATTCATGCACTCTGTGCAGTAGACGTGAAATAAAGAGGAAATTTCACTCTACATGTATTGAAAATACATCTTAAGTTTTATTTCAATGCTTCAGGTGAAGGACTATTTTTGAAAAGAGAGGATCAAGACACAATGCTAGCCAGACAACAGCCTAGATCTCAAACTTATCGAAAACTACTGGAAGATAATGGGTAACAAAGAGCAAGAGAAGAAACCGAGAAGTATCTTTGAACTGCAGAAAGTCCTAATCCGCATGTGGCATCATGAACTCACCCCTGTCTACATTCAGCCCCTCGTGCACTATATGCCATGGCGATGTCAAGCAGTTATCAAAGCCAGAGGGGCACAACCAAATATTAAAACAAGAAAAAAAACTCTGTGACCACTTTTTGCCAGTTACATTAGTGGCGTTATCTTTAAATTTTGGTTTTCGTATTTGCCAAGTATTTCTTGATATTTCGCTGTAATACGTTTGTCACAGTTAATTAATTAATATAGATGCATATATGTGTTTACACACCCACAATATCTATAACAGTTTTACACTAGTTCTGACACTTCTACAATGCAAAATGTCATAAATAATTACAGAAGCCAAGAAAAGTATGAAAAAAAACTGGGTGATGCAATTATTTTTCAACACTGTAATCTATAAAAAATATTAAGTAATAAGTAGAGTGAAGTTTCTGTAAAATATTTTTCGTTACTTACCTCATGAATAATCTTGGCATTGTCATGGATGGAAATTATGTGAGTTATATTATTGGTTGTCAGTTGCTCCTGGTCCTTGGAGTCTCGGAAGTTCCCCACATACAGACCCGGGAGAACCTGCAACCACAGACCTTGCTCACTGTCGATTAAAAACCTTTGCTAAGATGTTTCGCAACATATAGCTTTGTCTTACATTTCATATTACCAGGAAAATAGACATGTTACTTGACAAGCTCTTCATAAAATATATTAAGTAAAAAAACAGACATTTTTTAAAAGCTATCATCATCATCTCTTCAAAAAGGTCAACTTGTATTCTTTTACACTTGTAATTGTCCCAACGTTTAATAATACGTTTAATTAGCAATGCCAATTCAGAACGTTACACCATTAGCTTATTGGTGTGATGACCTGAATGTAGCAATGGTAATTTTTCATATGAAAACCTAAACGTTACACCATTAACTTTTTGGTGTGATGACCTGGATGTAGCAATGGTTATTTTTTATATGAAAACCTAAACATTACACCAGTAGCTTGTTAATGTTATTGTATCGTGTTCTGTCGAATTATTTGGTGAAAATAATACAAATTCTATTCCATGTAACGATAGCAAGTTAGCTTATTCCATCTATAATGTTTGCTACAGGCCACAAGTTGTTGGCCTAGGTTCCCAAACAACCATTTCACTTTAATTGGAGACTGCGATGCGAATGTTATTTATGCCTGACTGACAAATACAAAACTTATTTGTAGAATTTCCTGAATAGATGCTATAACTCTCACTCTCTAGCACTAAACCGAAACACTTATTGAATATTCAACTGAATTCTCATTAATCATTATTTGTATTTATACTGTACCCTTGTTTCTAGATATTAGACAAAGCTTCTTGATTATCAAAATTCACGAAAGTCTAGGTATTGTATTATCATAATTAGCAGCTCCCTCTAGCAAACAACTAACTTATAACATTGGAAATATAGCTTAGAAGAACTAGATGAACTAGACGTAATAATGGTAAAGTGTTTATATAGAAATCTGAACGTTACACCAATAGCTTGTTAATATGTTGACCTGAATATAGTAATGATAAAGTGTTTATATGGAAATCTGAACGTTACACCAATAGCTTGTTGATATGTTAAGCTACAAGTAACAACAGTAAATTGTGTTTTTATTAAACCTGAACGTTATACCAATAGCAGTTCATATAATGAACCAAATGTCATAATGATAACTTTCTTACATGGAAACCTGAACGTAACACCATTAATTCGTTAATAAAAGTGATTTGAAAGTAACAATGAAAGATTGTTAATATGGTGACCTGACAGTTACAATTATCATTAACTTCTGCTCAAATCAAGCTTCCTACATAAATCAGAAACATTAACCTAATAAAGAATACAGCTACTGTACTATCCCACTCTTACTTGTAATAATTGAAAGGCATTTATTATCAATTGGATACCCTCGCTGTTAGCCATATTGTCAGCCGTAATCCCAAATATACATCACAAGGTTTAGCTGGCTTAGGAGATTTGATTAGTAACAAACGCATACACTAAGCTAACAATAATAAATTATCCGTACGATAGAATATCTAATAAAAATTTAAAATTATAAAAATAAAAATATCATATTTTAAACAATTTAACCAATGCTGTTAATGAAACTAACTCTAAAGATACAATAGAACAGAATTTACTCATAAAACATACAAAAACTAGTTGTTTGCTTCATACACTATCACCAAGTCTATGTTTCTTGAAATGTGTGACACCAGTATATGCAAATCTCCCTAACAAAGTATAATGGCCAATGAAAGCTCGTGGTAACTTCATATCTCTGATAAATTACCACAACATTTTACTATTTGAATACAGAATCAGGCAGCAGTATGGTAAAAATGGCACAGAAAAAAATGTACATGAAGATAAAAAGTAATGATATCAAATTAACAATGACTCTCTGAGTCAGCAAGACAACGCACATTACTACATATACATACGGTATATCCTCAACACTCTTGCAAATATTACGGAACATACAGTTTCGTGTGAGAAACACGATTGTTTTCATCAACCAAAACCTGAAAAGAACACGAGGAGATAGAATTATTTATTTTTTTTTTGGTGGACCTTGCCCGCATCAAAGGGGTTTCTGTAATACTATATCCATGATGTTAGAAAAACACGTAGGTTCAAGAAGTCTTGATAGAAATGAATAAAAACCCTATAATCCGAGCGTTTTGTTTGTTTCTTTGTTTTGAATTTCGCACAAAGCTACACGAGGGCTAT